ATGTATGTATAGGTACATATGTGTGTTTATATGTGTATATGTGTGTATAATTGTGTGTATGTATTGTACATACGTAATTGTACTCGCTAGCTCTGTCCACTGAGAGGTGTCAGAAGGAGTGACACTCCAGTAGCAATGGCAGCACTAAGAGCCCAGATCTTACAGGGCTTCTAGAGTCGATCCTAGGTGCAGGGCAAGGAAAACAGAAAATGAACCTGGAACATCTTATTGTGTCAGAAAAGAAGACATGCTCAAAGAATGATGAGGACATATCAAAAGGACACAAGACACACCCTGAAGGGTCTCCCACTGGCCAAATCTGGAACAACTGAGCATCAAAACAATGAAAGTATCAAAATACAACCCATTAAATAAAATAGAAACCCATGAGTTCATACTGATATATATACATACAGACCTACAGGCAAAAATGAGAGGTGGAGAAGGAATATTGTCTCTTGCAGTAGGTTACCAGAAATTTCCTTCCTTCCTTCCTTCCTTCCTTCCTTCCTTCCTTCCTTCCTTCCTTCCTTCCTTCTTTCTTTCTTTGAGACGAAGTCTTGCTCTGTCATCCAGGCTGGAGTTCAGTGGCACAATCTTAGCTCACTGCAACCTCCGCCTCCCAGGTTCAAGAGATTATCCTGCCTTAGCCTTCTAAGTAGCTGGGATTACAGGCGCGTGCCACCATGCCCGACTAATTTTTGTATTTTTAGTAGAGACAGGGTTTCACCATGTTGGTCAGGCTGGTCTCAAACTCCTGACCTTGTGATCTACCCACCTCGGCCTCCCAAAGTGCTAGGATTATAGGCGTGAGCCACTGCACCCAGCAATTGCCAGAAATTTCTACACAAAACTGTACCAGAAAAATTTCCACAGAAATACAAAATTACCATTATCATAGTGGTAGTAGAAAAAGTTGCCAATGGATGCTAAGTTTTCTAGGTGGAATTTGATAAGCCATACACTATTGTGGTACTCTTGGAACATTTCTACAAAATATTACTAATCAATTACAAGGGAGGAAATAGTAATTTTTTTTTTTTTTTTCTGGAGACAGAGTCTTGCTGTGTCACCCAGGTTGGACTGCAGTCACTGCAACCTCCACCTCCGGGGTTCAAGCAATTCTCCTGCCTCAGCCTCCCGGGCAGCTGGGACTACAGGCACGTGCCACCATGCCCAGCTAATTTTTGTATTTTTAGTAGAGATGGGGTTTCACCATATTGGCCAGGCTGGTCTCGAACTCCTGACCTCATGATCCACCCACCTCGGCCACCCAAAGTGCTGGGATTACAGGCGTGAGTCACTGAGCCTGGCCAGAAATAGTAATTTTTATGGTGGAGAAACATGGCCAAAAATAAAAAGAGAGACAGGTAAGCCACAAATGACAATCTGAGAGAAGGTATTTACAAGATGCATAATAGTCAAAGAATGAGTTTCCAATATACAAAGAGCTCCAATAAATCAACATTTGTATTATAGTCCAATTTAAATGGGGCAAAAGACATGATTAGGCAATTAAGAAAAATACATAAATGGGCAAACAAACATATGAAGACGTGTGGATCTTCACTAATAATCAAATAAATTCTGAATAAAACAAAATTTTTTTAACCTGTTAGACTGACAAAAAATGAGGGTTGATAATATGCCTGCCAGTTGCTTCACTGGCATCACAAGGCATGTCAATTAGAAAAAAAATTAAGGTGTTTTCTGAAGTGATACCACTTGCAAAATGGCTAGAAAATATGCCAGTGATTTGTAAATAATTTATTATATACAGAGAACAAACATACTTCTCTTGCTAATGTAGAAACACCCTTCGGTGTGGTCACTGAGAACTTCTTCCAATATTCTGTTGATAACTGTAACACAAATGGTTATATACTGAAGTATTTATGGGAAGGGACAAGGAGAATTCATAGTATGATACAATCAGAGAATCTAGTATCTATCTATCCCATTCATCCAATGAATGTCTGAGCTGCTTCTTCAAAAGCCTTAACAACACCATCCGGCATTTGCTAGAACACCTCCATTGTTCATTCATTCATACAACAAATATTTACTGAATACCTACTTTGTGCCAGGACAGAAGTAAGTGCTGAGAATACAGTGGGGGAGCAAAAAGAAACACAGTACGTCGCTTAAAAGAGCTTACAATTGACAGGAGGAGAAAAAATATTAATCAGATAGTCATGTAAATAAGTTTAAAGTTGTAACTGAGATAAGTAGTACGAGGAATGCTCATACACAACTACACAATGATATGAAAACCTAAAAAAGGGGAATTTGACTTTGTCAGGAAGGTCAGGAAGGGCTCCAATGAATGTGGCTTGAGCTGAAATGTGATGGCTGGAAAAGTGGCTAACTAGGTCAAAAGAAAAGGCAAGAGCATTTAAGGTGGAGGAGTAGCATGTGTAAAGGCCCTGTGGTAGAGGGAATATCATGAGTAAGAGGGAATGAGACAGGGTGTGTGGGTGGACCAGACCAAAACAGAGGGCAAGTTAGGGTGAGACAAGACTGGCCAGGTACATGGAACCGGCCAGGTACATGGAACCAGCCAAGTGAAGGGTGGGACCTGTCAGCCAGAAGCCCAGAAGGGTGGTGAGCCCAAGGAAGGACCAGCATCGTGTTTGGAGAAGATCCTTTTGACTGCTGTGTGCAAGTTTCCTTATACCAAATTCAAATAAATAAAAGCCACAAGTCAACTGTCCCCATAGTTCCATCCTCCCTATTATCCCAGGGACCACAGTTTTAGCTTTCTCTTTCTCACTCTCCTTCTTTCTTTTTCTTTTCTTTTCTTTTTTGTTGTTGTTGTTGTTGTTGTTGTTGTTGTTTGAGATGAAATCTCGCTCTGTCACCCAGGCTAGAGTGCAGTGGCATGACCTCAAGCAATCCACCCGCCTGGGTCTCCCAAAGTGCTGGTATTATAGGCATGAGCTGCCGTGCTCAGCCTTTTTTTCTTTTTCTTTTTTTTTGAGACAGGTTCTTACTTTGTCACCCAGACTGGAGTGCAGTGATGCAATCCTGGCTCACTGCAGTGGAGGTGGGAGGTTGAGACTACAGTGACTTGGGATCACGTGATCCTCCCACTCAGCCTCCTGAATAGCTGGAACTACAGGTACCTGCCACTACACCTGGCTAATTATTTGTATTTTTTCTAGACATGGGGTCCCATTATGTTGCTCAGGCTGGTCCTGAACTCCTGGGGTCAAGTGATCCGCCTGCCTCGGCCTCCCAAAGTGCTGGGATTACAGGCATGAGCCACCACACCCAGCCAATCTTTCTTTCTTACGACAAATATTTGGGGAGGGCAGCCTCCCCTGGCTCTCCTCCCCCTGCATCCCTGCCATCCAGATTTCCCCAGGGAGCATTGTTTCTGTCCTGCCTCCACCACAGGGAGAGTTCTGAATGACCTTCAGTTTGTCCTTTTCCCTGTCAATGTACAGGCCTGAGAACAGAATGTAAAACCAATGGAGGGCCCAGGAAGGCAAATGGAAAATGATCATTGAACAAGCTGAAATCTGCCAAAAAACATAAACTCTCACTTTGAAACCATCATCTGACTGAAATGGAGAACTGTAAAACCGAGAATAATGATCCTAAAACAACTAAAGTATATGTACAATGCGGATGACCAGAGGATATCGAGAGAGGGAGGCCAGGAGGTCATTTCGCCCTTTAGACAGAGGTCTGGACACGCAGCACTAAGAGAGGAGCCACTGGTCATTTTAAAACACGAGTCCTGTGAAATAGTAGTGAACTTGAACATTATACTTTTAGGCGGGAAAAGCAAAGTGAAAAAGGTTAAAGATGATTTTTCCTGAATATTATATCTCAGCACCATACCTATGCACATGAAGAATCTCACAAATGGAATATTAAATAAAAGTGTAAAGTAAAATAATAATAGATAGAATGTTATGATCTACAAAATGCTTAAAAACATGCAAAATAAAACTCTACATTATTTTCGCATGTATCCATGTGTGGTGAAAGCACAGAGATATGAAAGGGAATCAAAACCCCAGGTATAAGACAGGAGCTTCCTCCTGGCCTCTAGGAGGAGAGCCATGTGTTTGGCAAGGAGTGCACAGGGCTGCAGGTGGCATTGACACCACTTTTGTTTCTTAAGCAGGGGCACATGATATTGATTATATTATTATTTATATTTGTGAAATATCTCTCAATATGTTTTTTAAAGAAAAAAAGAAAAATGAGACAATCTAAGTTGTGGGTGAACTACTGATAAGAAAAGGAACAGAAATGTGAACTCTTAACTCCTTCCTAGTGGTTGATTTTCTATTTAAAACAGGCTCTAGACAGGTTCCACTCCCTGGATGGCATGAAATAGTTTCCTGATACATAGGCATCACACTAATGGACAGAATTGAGGGCCTAATCAACAGAGCTGTGAACTGTGAGGGATGCTTCAGTCACTCTTTTCTTTTCTTTTTTTTTTTTTTTTTT